TTAAGGAATCCTATGGAGGAACCCCCTTGAAATGACTCTGCATCGCAATGTCCAGTTTGCTGAGGAATTGACTTCCGTACTTTTTCCCTATTGCTCTTCGCCTCTTCCCTGCTTCAAAATTTAGGGTCATTGCCCTTGTCATGATAGTCGATGTAGGGAATTAGCCATTCCAGTCCATCAAACAAATATAATTCAGCACTTGAGTTTAAAAAATTGTATGCATATATGGTTATAAACTTTAAATTATTAGATCAAGAGTAACCACAACCATAGCAAAATAAGCCTTATTTTCTTAATTTGAAACTTTGAAGTTGTTGATTACAATGTCAATACAGATTTGACCGTGGCAAGAATGAAGATCGATAGTGGTGTTGATTAAAACCAGGAAAGTGATAAATTGAAATTACATTAAACTAGTTCTTCTTGTTCTTAGCAGCGTTCCCCTCCTTTTCAAATGCAACTACCACTTTCATTAAAATGACTTTGTTAAGAGTTGAGATTTCATCTTAAAATGTCAACCTTATTAAGAGGAATAGTCCAAACTCTTATAAATTGGTCTATGTTTTCATCTTTATTTGATGTGAAATTTTATCCCTTAACATGCCCTTGCAAAATGGTGGCTCGTTTTGAACAGACAAATCTTGAAATTCGTGTGCTCAATTTTTTGAGTCTTAATCATATCGAATTACTCGTTGAAGTTTAATGGACTTTGATACTATATTAAGAATTGTGGTTCCATCTCAAAATGTCAACCTTATTAAGATGAGTATTCAAAACTCTTATAAATTGGTCTATGTTTTCATCTTTATTCGATATGAGATTTTATCCCTTAACAAACTTTAGTTGGCTGGTGAGAATTCTTTACAACCTTCGATGTTGCTTGCCATTTTTCACCATGCTTTGGTTTTGCTGCAACACATCTCTCCAATACATTCTTTTGGGTCTCAATGGTACCACATCTGCTTCTTCGATTTCAATTTTGGGCGATTTTGAGTTCACAATTTAGGGACTTTGATTTCAAGGGTTCAAAGAAAGCAAGCGTGTTCCAGACAGGTGGACAAATTAACAAACAAAATAAGTCAAATCAGCTTTCCGTTGTATATGTCGTGATTTCCATTAATTGTAGGTAATGAATTTGAAAGGAGTGATGGATGGGGATGAGCAAGAGGTAACTTATGGATAGTGGTAATTGGGGCAAATGGT